GTCCGGTGTGAGGGCGGAGGCCGCCCCGGCTCCGTCGCGTTCGCTTGGGCGGGACCCCCGGGCCTGGCTCGGCGAGCCGCTAGCTCTGAGCACCCCCCGCCGGGAGCAGCCGGGTCTTCGGTGTGCAGTGATGGCACTGGGAGCTCCAAATGATTGTGTTTGCTGAAAAACAGTCGTACGCTGAAAAACTAGGCAGATAACGTGCGAAGACGTCGTCTCCTTATTTACTTTCTGTTGCTGGCGGTAAGGCGCCAGTGAGCGAGTGAGAGCTGGGGGGTCAAAGTTGAAGCGTTTGTTTATTTTGAGGCAAGAAGTGGTAAGAAAGTGCTGACAGCAAACTGCACGGTTGGTTGAGACTCTGAAAGTGACTTGGGTTTTGCATGTGCTGCATCAGTGAGCTGCCTCAAATTATCCTGGGGTTCGAACACTTTTACCGCTATTGATCATGTATCATACAAGGGTTGAAATTATCATACAAATACAATAATTATTGCTAGAAGTGCACTGCTAAGTTGGTCTGGTATCAGACTGGCATCGATATAAGGAAAATGGATCGAATTGGAAATCAGCCTAATTTGGCCAATAAATGCCAGTGCATACGTGCAAGCTGTAGTGCAGATAGGCAGCAAGGAGCACAGACTAGCACCTTGGAGAGGAGCGCAGCCCAGCAGGGGCTGGGGCAAGTACTGCCTAGCCGGGGTGGGTGTGAGACAAAGTTGTGACTTGTCGGGGGGGGGCAGCTCCCATCATTGTGTGCCACTGGTCCTGCGCTCATCTGGTGGCTCCTGCTGCTCATCCGGGAGGGCATGGGAGAGGGGTGTGTGCCCTCGGATCGGGGCGGAGCAGTCTGGGGCTGCACAGGGCTCTTCCCGCCCCACGCAGACCCGGGGGCCCCCCCCCCCCGACAAGCGGTGGGAGCTGCCAGGCCAGCGGCTCCCGTGCACAGTGGTGGGATCTGCGCCCCCCTTCCCGCGCCCCCCAGATGAGCCACGGCTCTGTCCCACCCCACCCTGGCTGGGCAGCGCTTGCCCCAGCCCCATTCCTTCACCAAGTGGGGCCTTGATCTGCTCCTTTTCCACCCCACCACACTTACCAGGTGGAAGCAGCTCTTCAAGCTGCCAGCCTGGTATTGGAAATCGGATCGGTATCAGCTGATGTGCCTCCTTAAAAAATGACTATCAGTATTGGCCCCCAAAATTTCTGTTGGTGTGCCCCTAATTATTGCGCACCTGGGAACGCTGGAGCAGCAGAAGGGACCGAAGAGGAGCCAGGTAGATTTTGAAATGGCTCCATGGGGGGATCTGCCCCCCCCTTCCCGCGCCCCCCAGATGAGCCACGGCTCTGTCCCACCCCACCCTGGCTGGGCAGCGCTTGCCCCAGCCCCATTCCTTCACCAAGTGGGGCCTTGATCTGCTCCTTTTCCACCCCACCACACTTACCAGGTGGAAGCAGCTCTTCAAGCTGCCAGCCTGGTATTGGAAATCGGATCGGTATCAGCTGATGTGCCTCCTTAAAAAATGACTATCAGTATTGGCCCCCAAAATTTCTGTTGGTGTGCCCCTAATTATTGCGCACCTGGGAACGCTGGAGCAGCAGAAGGGACCGAAGAGGAGCCAGGTAGATTTTGAAATGGCTCCAGCTCACCTGAGTGAGGAGGTTGCAATCCCCCTGGGGCAGGGATTCTCAGCCGGGGATGCCAGGAGAGCCTGCCCTGAGGTGTCTCAGGGCAGCAAGGGCCATAGTATCTTCATTGCTGAGAGGTCAGGCAGGAAGGGGCCTCCAGAGCTCCTCGTCCAGCCTCTGCCTGAGGCAGCTCCTCCTCAGCCAAAGCATCCCATACGAACCATTGTATAAACTCCACTGGAAGTGGACTGTCCACTGTGATGCAGTGCGGGCCTCACATCCCAACTTGCCTCGGGTAAAGCAGGGGAACCATAGCAGCCTGAGATGAAGTTATCCCCAGTCAGCCCATCCCTTGTACATCCATAGTTGGACCTCAGTAAAACTGTTTGACACACTGCTGGACATAATGCCTGAACCTGATGCAGGTAGAGGAGGGAGATGACAGGAGTTTGCACCACAGTAAGCCTTTTCGGACTTGCAGCCCCCTCCGTAACTTTGGTGAAGTGAGCAGCATCCCTCTTTTGGAAACCAAGCGATGTGTTACAGGGCTTGCCTGCATGCAGAGGTGCAGGTGTGGAATTGAACAGGCAGGGACCAGCCTGAGGCTGTGATGACCTGCTTATTACCTCACTGTATTTCCTCACTGCACCTTGCTTTTCTCTTCATACTCCCCATCACCCTTGAAAGAATCTGGCACTCGCGGGTAGCCTGGCACCCTGGTTGAGATTTGCTATGCTAAGATGGTCTCAGCTGATTTACTGCCCTCTGCCAAACTCTCTTGTGCAAATATACCAGAGCCATTTAAAACTGACTGGCCTTTCTTTAGGAACAGAAAAGTTAGGCATGACTTGAGGACAGTGGTTCTCAATTTTATTGGACTTGAGGCCCCCTCCATATCTGGTGAATTGAGTGGCATCCCACTTCCATAACTCTTATATATTACAGTGCTTAGCTTCTGGCAGAAGAAACAGGCAGTAGGAGTAGGGGATTGTTCAGGCAAGGACAAGCCCGAGCTTGACTACTTTTCTACTTAGGTTATCTGCTTATCTCCTCACGCCTCAGGGCAGCTTTTGAAGGCTCTGGTGGCACCCCAGGGTGCCCTGCTAGTCTGGCTGAGAGTCATTGCTTTAGGAGTGTTGCAACTTTTGCTGTACATTGCAATACACCGTAACAGTTTCAAGATGCAACAATATGAGATTAATTGCAGTGTAGACTGATGAGGTTTTCTTTAGAGTAATGCTTGCATTATTCTGTCTTCAGGAAAATAGAGGAACTTCTCTTTCCCCATTTCATTCACCCAAAGAAATTTTGGGTGAGATTTGTTTTTACTTGAAAGCTAAATGAGGCATTTTAACTATTGGGACTGTAGTCCATTCATAGCATCTGACAAAGTAGGCAGTTGCCTGTGAAGCTTATGCGTCTCTGAATGAGTTGGTCTCCAAGGGCCATCATGATCTTCTGCTTGACTTAGTCTAGAGCAGGGGATTTCAGCCTTTTCTAGTCTAAGTACCCCTGGTGGCTGAATGCTGGGGGTGGGTAGTGTACAGCTGAATGTGGGGGTTGTGGGGGTGGCATATGGCTGGACATGGAGCAGGGATGGAGCACCGCTGCTTCCCAGGAACAGGGCTGGGGTGGGAAAACTCACCGGGCCAGGGTAAAGGCAGTGGCACCCCTCTACAGGATGGGGAAGCTCAACCAGGTGGTGTGTGGCAGCTGCCGTGCGTGAGCTTCCCCACCCCACAGAGGGACACTGCTGGTGCCGCCCCAGCCCTGCTCCTGCGAGGCAGCAGCGCTCCGTCCCCGCCCGCGCATAACCCCTAGGACCAATGCAAGTACTCCCAGGAGTATGTATACCTCCAGTTGACAACCCCTGGTCTAGAGCTAACTACCTCTCTGTAAAATGACTTATTTGAAAAATAAACTGTTTCCAATATGCTGATAAATATTTAGAGCCAAAATAATCACTTAGATCATTAGTCTTGCCTGCATAACATAGGCCAGGGGAGAGCATACGATTGATGCTGCTTTTGAAAGGAACATTAATGTTTCCACGTTGCACACTTTGTTTTCTCTGTAAATGTGCAGCTTGATGTATTTAGTACAGTGATTCTCAACCAGAGTGCCGTGGCACCCTGGGGTACCCTGAAATGCTTTCCAGGGTGTTGTGGCATGTCACACAATATTAGTAGTGTTAGGTGTGCAAACATGATTCACAAGATAGTCAGAGATTTTAAACAGGAATCCATTGTGTTAAAAACTCCAACCTGTCATGGTCTTGATAGAGAAGAGCTGCTCTGTTATTTTTAATCAAAAAATGAGTGAAAACTAAGAGTTGGCATTTTCTGCAGGTTTCCTTGAGTTTAAAAGGTTGGGAACCACTGATCTGGTGTTTGGCAACAAACATAGTATTTTGCTTGCTTGACCAAATCCAGAATTAATTTTTCTTCCAGCATAGTGAGAAGTGTAGTTTCTTAACTCTTGTATTTTCTTAGTCTTAAAAGTTACAAAGGAAAACATCAACATATGTTAATGCAATGTGCTTGCTCTCAGTAGGTGTTACTCACAAACCACACAGCAAGACTTCAATGTCTAGAAGGATTTTTAACTGTTATTTGTTCTAAGTAAAATTTAAAATTAACTGTAATTTGGTGGGGGATTTGTGTGATTACAGAATGGCTGGCCAAATTTGCATTAGGAGATGTGAAAAACGTATTTCTCTTGTGGTTGTTGTTGTTATTGTTATTAAGAACTTTATCCTGTCCTATTCAGAGAGACTTAGAGCTGCTCACAGAAACAAGCAACCCACAAGATAAGAAGTAACAAACTAAAACCCCAGTTAACACCCTAAAGCACTTTGACCCTTTTGGAAGTGCTTGAAAATGTGTTTTATGTCATCAAATAGTCAGCAAGTTTCCTTGACTACCCTATAAAGCTATCTGATAGATTTATTTATAGAAGTTCTTTTTGTGCCATAATAGTGTTGTCCCTCTTTGTGTTCAGCAGAACAAACAGCCATGTCGTCTCCTGTTTCCTCAAAAGAAGATACAATGCCTACTGAACAAGTTGATGATAGAGAGCCTGAAACTGAGAACAAAGCTGAGGAAAGTGAGGAGGAGGAGGAGGAGGAAGAAAAAGGTAAGTAGAAGTTCACAGGATGGGCAGGGTTTTCAGTTAGGTGCATATGAATGTATGGTTACGAGACTATTTACCAATACTTAGTTTAAGTAATTTATTCTTGAGCATAAGTGGGTAGGGAATGGCACTCTGGGACAATTTATACTGGCACAATTTTGAAAATGACGAGATGGTATGATATTTTCATATATCTCTGACTTTTGAAAATTGCTTTTCTTAACATTAAGTACTGAAGTCTAAGTGGGAGGAGAAGGGGATTGACTTTTGAATGTGGCTAACTGTATTTGTAATGAACATGTTGCAAATCACGAGGTGATCTCAGTGGTGGATTCTGCATCACAGTGGAAACAAACATCAGCTGGATTACTGCACTTCACCTAGGGATAAGGTGTTATTGGTTGGCTCTCTGTCTTCAATTTTGCATTCTGCCTCTGAGTCAGTCCCATGTTGGAGCTGACTGCAGTTTTTTAACTTTGGGAATGGCAGATCAGATTCAGTGAAAGCTACCAGAGGTGGATCTCTAGTTCATACCTGAACAAAAACGTATCTTGTCTTTTGTCCTGTTCTGATTAAAGGATCAAACTAATAAAGATGTTTTCTCTGTTGCTGGGGAAGGAGATCCCAGGGTGCCATTCCCTACCCTTTTCCCTCCTCCAGCTAATCCTTATGGACACCAAGGTTTGATCCTAGTAGCCGCATACATGCCCAGACAAATACAGCTTAGTTATGTTGCAAGTGGGAACTACTCATCCAGAATGGCCTCAGGTTCTGGCTGTTCAGATTCTTAGCAACACCTTCTTCCCGCCCCGTGGGCTCCCCTAGCATTTTCAGGCTGTGCCATACTGCTGCCCCCTGGGGCATGGACAGGAACTGAAACCAAAAAAGGGAGGTGGAGTGTAGGGCTGCCCACCATGAAAGGAGCAGCAGCTGGGGGGAGCCCAGGAGCCACAGATTAACCCCTTGCATGCCACCTGTTGGACAGGCCTGGCCTCAGATGATTGTTGAGAAAGATACTTTGCTCATTTCCAAGCAGGGCGAGCCTTTTTCTTTTGCTGCTCGTTTCTTGACAGGATAGAAATCTGTTGGCAGGAATTTTCTAAGCCTATTTAATAGCTCAAAATCACATGCAAGGACTGATTGTTGAAAATAGTAAAGTTCTGTTATGTGTGGTAAAATCATAAATTAGTGGGTGGATTTAGCAGGAGTAATAGAATGCATGTCTTACTGCTGGTCAAGAGTAATGTATGCTCGTTAAGCAGATATGTTTGCAAAGTGTATGTGTTTTTGTTTGGCCATCACATGGTTCCCAAAGACTTTAAAACAGAACCACACTGGAACGACAGAAACATTCAGTGTAAACCACACTACATGGTTGTGAATTGTGAAAAATGTGCTGCAGTTCAAAAGAAAAGAAATACAGTACTTAGCATTTGCATATTCCAGCAGGGGAAAATAGTCTTAAAAGTGGTAAGCCTCCCTAGTGAGAGCATCTATTGCATTATTTGTGATTACATTAAAGGCACGTCTGATGCAAGTAGTGTCTTAAAACCTTTATCTACAAAGCACTACAGGGGTGCGTCCAGACGTGCGTGGATGTTTGGTTCCCCAGGGACAAGTAGCGGTGGTGCACCTTGCGCTGCCACTACTTGTCCCTGTGTGCTTTGGTGTGCAGCAATTTACCCTGGTAGGGCGGTAGGGGAAGCTGGGGCCAGCACTGTGCTGGCCCCAGCAGCCTTACCTGGGGTCCTGCAGGCCTCCCAAGGCTACAGCTGTGGTGATCTTGCTGGGCAGAGCCTGGCTGGCAGCCACAGCATGGCTCTGCATGGCCTGGCTCTGCTTTTCAGCAGTGCGTGCTGCTCTTTCCGTGGGTTTTTTGACCCCTGGATACAGGGGTCAAAAAAACCCATGGGGGAAAAAACAGAGCAGTGCTGAGAATGCTGGACTGTGCAGCATGTGGTGATGCATACATGTTTGCAGTGCCACATGCTGCACAACTGTGATCGTATGGACATGCCCCAGGTGATTAAATTGAAGAGCAACTTGTAGCTTGGGAGCCGTGGTCTCAGCATTACTGACTTAAGTGTACTGGAGTACTGAAACAGTGATAGGTGTTAATGTAGAGGGCATGGTTAAGACTGGAGCTAGGGCAGGAAAGGGAAGCTTATTACTGCTCTTACAGTATAAAATACTTGTGGTTGCCCCATATCCCAAGAAGGGGTGCCGGGTAGTGAGGCCACAATTTAAAATTAAATAAGATTATAATGATAAGAATCAAACCTACCTCTGTTGCATCCATGTATTTTATTTAGTTCAGCTTTCAGCAGGCATGGCTTCATGTGTTAACCAGTGTTGTCCTTGCTTAAATAAATTGTGTATTTGTAATTCTTCTGGTTAAATATTAAAATGTTAACATATTGTGAACTAAAGCTATCTGGTGTTTTTAATGCATGTTAGGATACCTACCTTGTGATGCCTTGGAATTCTCTCCATATGGTAACAAAGGAACTTCAGTGTGCATGTTTTTATAGGGAAAATGTTATGCTTACAACACTGTATTTTGCAGAAAAAAGTCTCATTGTTGAGGGAAAAAGAGAGAAGAAGAAAGTGGACAGACTGACAATGCAGGTATCCTCGTTACAAAGGGAACCTTTTACGGTTACACCAGGCAAGTTTGTCCACTCATTTTAAAACTAAGGACACTGCAACTAGTAATGACATCTCTTAAATTACATCTGATTGATAAAGTATTTATAATTGAAGTCAGTTTCAAGATATTTAACAGGCACTGTAGGTCTTAAAGTAATTCTTGTTTAGATAGATTCTAGCTGTGACAATTATATAGGAATCTCTTGACTTTTGTAAGTCTCTTTACAAGGTTGAAATTCTTGAAAAGAGTTAGAGTAAGAATGTAACAATCCCCATTAACAAAGTCAAAATTAATTGGAATAAAAGAAATAAGTTTGTTGCCCCCATCTGGACATAGTAGACACCCCAGTGAATTATGCACAGAAAAAAATCAAAATTATTTTTTTTAAAATGTTTTTTTATTTTTTTTTTTATTTTATTATTTTTTTTTTTTACAAATTAAAAAATGTTCAAATAGTGTTGTTTAGTTTAGAAATATATGCGGGTACTTTGTACGGTTGGGAGGTGGATGTAGGGTGGGAGGGTGAGGTTTGTGGGGGGCTTGTGAAGGGGGGTGTGTGTGTGTGGAGAGGGGGGTCGTATGTGGATGTGGCCCCTCCCCCCCACTCCACCTCATGGTATGTAGCAGCAGGTCCTCCGGGCACTCAAGGCCGCAGCAGGCAGAGGTCCTGGGGCCTGCGCATACTGGCGTGGAGCTGGCCTAGCCCACTGGCATGCACCTTCAAACCAGACCAGGCTGGCTCCATGCCAGCACATGGGGCTCGCAGCACTACAGGTGGGAGCTGCACGCCATCAGGCCAGGCAGGCTCTGTGCCTCCATTGGCGCCTTGCTGCTGGAGTGCTGAAAACCCCATGTGGAGGCATGGAGCCAGCCAGCCTGGCTTAATGGCATATGGCCTAGGAGCCCATTGGGCCAAGTGGGCTCTGTGCCTCCACATGGAGCTTCCAGCACTCCAGCAGGAAGCTGCATGTGGAAGTAAGCAGAGGCCCAATGGCATGTGGCTCCCGGTCCACACGCCATTGGGCTGGGCTGGCCCTTGATGTGGGGCTTCCAGTACACCAGCAGGAAGCCACACATGGAAGCATGGAGTCGTGTGCCATTGGGCTGGGCTGGCCCCATGTCTCTACATGTGGCTTCCTGCTAGAGTCCCACATGGAGGCACTGAGCCAGCCAGCCCAGCCCAATGGTGCATGGCCGTGACCCACCCACAAACCCCATACACACACCTTTGCTGCTGCCGCCCCCACCCCCTCTTGCAGGTAGGAACTCCGTTCACCACTTATCCAGCTGTCCAGTTGTGCAGCTCTGTGCTACACATCATGGAGATGGAGGCACAGAGCTTGCTGCAGTTAAATTATGCAAAATTATGCAATTATGTGTGGTCATGCCTTTTATGTGCAAAATTGTGCAGGCACATCATTGCATAATTCCCCAGCGCGTAATAGTGGCAGGTAACAAAAGAATAGTTAAACGTGGCTAGCAAATTTTAACGTAATTAGTAAATGACTGCCTGCTTACTGTATATTACGTTGTGCACCGTTTGATTAGTAAAAATTTTACCCATCTGCTTTAAAATAGTTTAATTATAAATACTCTTTGTATTTGTAAAATAATTAGATGCTTCAAGCCATAAAACAGTGTATTGCTTCCAAGAATTGAATGAGATGCAGGAAATAACTTCTTTAAACTCTTTCAGGAAAGGGACAAAAACTTTGTGAAATTGAACGGATACAGTTCTTTTTGAGTAAGAAGAAAACTGATGAACTCAGAAATCTACACAAACTCCTTTACAACAGGCCAGGCACAGTAAGAACACTCCTCAAAATCAATCTTTTGTGTAATAATAGGGCTCATCTGGTATACTTACAAATGTATGCTTTTTTCCTAGTGAAAGCTTAGGTCTCTTTATAAAGAAGTGTACTGTAACTTTTATTTTTTTTTTTTTTTAAAGTCCATTTCTAGCACTAACAAATCAAGAAATTATTTTAAAATTGTGTTTCAATTGACCTTTTGTCTTGGCAATTCTGACTTGCTAAGGCCACTACCTTGACATCTGAAATCTAGAGTCGTAATTTTTGCATAGTGTTCTCAGTATTTCTACAGAAAGGTTAAAGAAAATGTCAACCTAGAAATTTCATATCTTTTAAAGCTTCCTTGAATTACCATTAGCTTTGGTTCAAGGCAGAATAACAAAGTCCAAAATCACTTTGTCTTATTTATGCGACTTCCATAATTGGACAATAAGCTACACTGGAAAATTTCTAACCTTTGGGCACAAACAAAAGGCTCAAAGTACTAGGTTTGCAACCGCTACATGGATTGCGATAAATTTCATGGATAAAAGGAATAATTAAATCAGCTACTCTGGTCACCTTTGTATCATAGCCATAGAATTGCACTTGTTTAATCCTGTGTTGAACCAAGCAATATGTTCAGGGGTGTGAACTTGCCCCATTCCTGGGCCAGATTTTGCATGGAATGACAGCTGTGGTGGGTCCAGAGGGGGTGGTAATTGTGGCAGTGATGGGCTAGTCCCATTCAGAGATTTGGAAACAAATAAGGATAATTTAAATTGAATTTGCTTGCTAAATAGCATTGTGAAGAGTAGAAAACAGATGATTTTATGTCATTGCAGTACCTCAAACCCATGAGTTGCATTCTGAATGAGACTCATCTGTTGTTTACAGTTCACTGGTAACCCAGTGCGGAAAAATTGTACAAAAGAGTGAGTTGCTGTAGCCTGCTGGTCATAAGATAAACAAGGGTTTTATTGTCATTGTGTAGCTGAAAGTCATGTTTCCAAAACACTTTAGTGTGTGGTTTTCCACTGCTCAAAAGTGACCTGGAATATTAGAACCATGTTTCTTAAATGAAAAGTTACTGAACAATTGTAGCTGGATATAATCTACTGAACTGTTTGCAGTGAGAAGTAATCAAAGTATTCTGTTCTAGGTTGCCTCACTGAAGAAGAATGTGGGTCAGTTCAGCGGTTTTCCATTTGAAAAAGGAAGTGACCAATATAAAAAGAAGGAAGATATGCTAAAAAAGTAATAATCTCTATAACTACTTAATATAGCTTAAATCATGCTGTTTTGCACTTATTTTCTCTAAGGTTTACTTCAGATAATCTAAACTATGGGCTGACTTTTCTAGAGTTCTGCTTTCTGTCCCATGTCTGTCAGGGCTCCATTTAAGATGTTTAAATGGGACTTGAAACAATAATTAAAACATCTCTTAAAAGAATTAGAGAATGTGTACCTAATTAAACTAATTTCAGATTCAGGTCTTGTGGTGGCAAAGGACTACCCTGGAAAGAAGTTGCTGCTACGTAGTAAAGCTTCATTAGACCTGTATACTCACATTTTGGAAAAATTATACTGAAAAAACTTGAATTATATAGAGAAGAGTTGGAAAGTTTCTCTTTTCTCATATTTTGTCACCTCTAAGCATTAGTAATTTTCTATCAAGAAACATCCCTCCCATCATCCCCCTTAGATTTTAACGGCTTTCTCTTTTGCATTCTCCCATTCTTGCTGACTTGTACATAACTGGCATTGGAAAGTGCTGCTTCCACACTTTAGGTCTGTTTGACACCAGTGCTCTCCACTCCTAATTCTTTCATGAAGACTAGCATATTGTCTGCTATGTGAGAGATGGGTTTAGTTCTCTAGGTCACATAGAAGTAAAATAGTTTACTTTTTAGCATTTAAATTTTTGGAATGAGAGGTTTGTCCTACTTAATGTTGGTTTTTCAGTCTGGCTTCAAGATCAAGGCAGTTTGCTGGTTTAAATTTTGAAGGTAGATTAGTGGAAGGAACAGTTGGGTTTATCTTAGTTTTTACTCTGTTTTGTTTTCTTTGATCAGCTGAAAGTCTGTGAGGAGACTCCTAGAACTTTGAATCCGCTGGGGAGGGGTATTGTTCCATAACTGTTCCTAGTTCCTTGTGACTTGTTTTCTAACTCTTTAATTATTTATTTGATTATCATAAAATATTCCTTGACCTACATAACAAATCCTGGCATCTACTATATTTAGATGACAATCTGAACTTTTGACAATTGGCTGGAGAATGTAAGTGCTATCCTGGGTCTGCAACATAGTATGAGAGAATATGCTGAAATTCTTTTGTTAGTTGCCAGGTGTGATCAATTTGAAAAAAATGCTTGTGGTGTCCTGTGCTAATGCACTTTAACAAAGTTCCAAGCACCTAGCATGCTCTTTTTTGAAAAGTAAAGGGAAACCAACTTAATTGACAATCTTATCTGCCTGCATTGTCAGCAAGCTTTGTTCTTATTTATCCCCAGCGAGCTGAACAGCTATCTGGGAAAGTTTTACTTCATTGTTACAAGCTGCAGTATTACTTACTGCATTTTGACTTTGGAGTCAGATTCTGCCCTCTTCATATCTGTGCAAACTCACTCGTTTCAGCAGTGTTGAATGGGTATACCTAAAAACAAGATTTGGTCTGTAATGGTGTAAATCAGAAAAAATGAACTTGAGTTTCAGTCTAAAGTTGATTTTGCAATGCTCCTGTAATGTAATTCTTATAAACTGAGTACACTTGACCTGGAAGCTAGTCATTTAAGCATGGAAACACTCAGTGGCCTGTTGGTCGCTCTTTGTAGTGGAAATGCAATTTAATACTTAGCTGTTGTATATCCCATCTTTCTTATCCACAGAGGTCTCCTTCACACTTAATTGATTCAGTACATGTTTGTAGCACACCACAAGTTTTGCAAGAAAACAAAATCAGTGTTCACATTTAGTTGGGACAACTTCATAGTTAGCCATCTAACCCCTGGCTAATTAAATGTACATCAACCTGCTGCTTAGTTTAGTAATTCTGATATAATAAAAGCCTTAGTCTGTTTGTCTGTCTGTCCATAACACTCTGGGCCAACTGCACATGGGCTGCCAAGAGGGTGCATGCTGATTGGCTGCGAGGCCCCAGAGCGTTATGGACAGAGGGGGTGAGGGAGCC